GTATAATAATTTTATTAACAAATAAATTATTGATAAGAAAATATATATATTGATAACCCTTTTATTAAGAATATTTAAAAAAAAACATAAAAAACTCTTTACAAATTTTAAGACAATGACTTAACATAATGATTAAAAATGTTATTTTATATTTTAACAGATTTTTATTACATACTCTAAAAGTAGGACAAAATAAAATAGATTTTATAAATAAATAGTATATAATTTTGTATAATTTTTTTATTAGGAACAAATTAAATTATTATTAAATAGTATGCTTCACGAAATTATCATTATATATATTAACTAAAATTTTACAATAGATATTTAGAAAACCTAATAATGAACAATTCTAATTTTTCAATATTATTATTAATAAGTTAGTGCTTCTTATGTGTCAAAAAGTTTACTTATTTTGAAGAAATTCTGATCAATGTATAATTATGTATATAAAGTATAAACAATAAAACAACACTACTGTAAATAGTTAAACTTATTTAAAAATAAATTAATTTTTGCAATTATATAACAATCAGATATTTTATTACGCATTGCTAGTTTACCATGACATGTCCTATTATGATGAGCTAATAAATACTCTTCGTATTAAGAAATGTTACGTTTGCGGTGGAAGATAAAACATCTCATTTAATTTCCGTGCACGTCAAAGTAATTTGAATTTTATAGACGTTAGATTTTATGGACTTTTTATAACTCTTGCTGAGGCAATAGTACTGGTAAAGTGGAAAACAATCATTATGGTTTAACCACTACTTAGGTTATCAAATATACAAAAGTAACGATTTACACCAATATAATATGTTCTCAGTTTTATACATAATACATATAGATACATACAAATTACATACATAATTATTAAATATTATTTTATTTAATATGTACTTATGTATGTATATTTTTTTAGTATATATTTAAAAAAAAAATATACATGCTTTAAAATTATTCTTTATTTATAGAAAAAATGAATGAACGAAAGAGTTTCTTATGCTTTTTTTTTCTTTCACGAATCGCGAAAGTTCGATAAAATGAAGTTTAACGAGTAAAAATTTATTGATAACTTATTATTATAGTTCAGCAACTAGAAAGTTGGGAAAAAATCGATTTCGCATGATAATATATAATGATTATCATTATTAGATTTTTTCTGAAAATATGTAGAAAATACAGTTTAATAATAATTAATGTACAAAATATTATATAAATTAAGTTTTCGTTTATAATGTACGTTAAACTTATACATTGGAGACTGCGACATTTTTAATTATGAGTATATCAATGAACATATTACAATTCATTTTATATAATAGATAATATACGTGCGTATATATAATCCATATATGATATATATAATTATGGGCACTTCTATGAATTCTCTAAATATATACATTATTTAAACTATTGGAACAATTAAATGAATATCTCCGCGATGATAATTATTTACGATATAAAGTAAATGTACAGAAAAAGGAGTGAAATCATAAAAAAGTTGATATCTCTCATAACATACACACACACACACAATAAAAATTCTTAATTTATTCTATATTATAGAAAAAATGAAGAAATATTCTTTTCATTATGCGCGCGCGCATAAGAAAACTATGAGACAAACTGTGAAGAAGATATATCTTTATATATTTATTATTCTTTTTGAACTTTTAAACTGTGCGCACACTTTTAATCTTAAGATTTTCCAACTTTCTTAAAATTTTTAATTTACAAACAATTATTGCATTGTGATGAAAAAGAATGATGTATTTACCTTTGGCCATTGAGACGACTGCATCTTTGACAGCATCCGTAATGCATTCTAATAGTTTCGGGTCTGACTTCTTACAAGTCTTGAAATTGTTGGCTGTAAAGTAGAAAAAGAGAGAAAACTATCGTGTGTAAGTTATTACATAACTGACTGCATTGCTGTAGATCCAATAAACCTGTGTGCTCACTCGATCTTTAAACGGTTGTTAGCTTTCTCTTTAAACCTATACGTATGTCAATTTCGGTCAACAGTGTATAGTTAAACTTAATTTAATAAAAAGCAATTTATTGCGAAAATAAATTTAATTGTTAATTTTAATGTAATATTATTAATGGTTTAGCACACAATTATTTTAGTTAAAAATACATAATAAAACACAATTTGTGTTTGTATTAAAACCGATTCTTGTCACAATTTTTATGTTGATCTTTTTGATGTATCTTAATTTAATATAATATGATTGTATTATTTAAACATTTTGTGTCAAATTGATATTCATTATTTCTTGATGTCAAAATAACACAATTTATGAATAAGTAAACAATTATAAAAACATAAAGTAATTTATTTTTAAAGAGAAATTCTGAGATATATGAATAAAAGCGTTAATTTAATATTATAATCGTCAATTTTAATTTAACACATTAAAAATGTTAAATTTACCAAAGAAATATGATTCCACAATTTGCTTATAAATTGTGTTGTATTTTTGTATTAATTTTTTACGTAATATTTGTGTTACTTCCTAATATTTATATTTTATGTTAAATTAAAAAATTTGGATGGACCATTTGGAAACGAGAAATATAATATGTTAAATTTAACAAATTTTTCAACTATATACATATTTTTTGATTATCTTATATATAGATATTGTATTTAATTAAAAACTATACAAATTTATTCATATTTTTAAGTATTTTATTAAATATAAAAATTATTATGTGTGTGTATATATATATTATATATATAATAATTATTACATATATACTATTATTAACATTTAATTGGATTAACTATGTCTAATAAATTAATTATGAGATAAATTTATGTTAATTTTCTATTAAGCACTAGATTAAATTTATATATTATAGTTTCTTCAAATTTTTATTTTTACTTAAGTTTTTTTCAGTCAACAACTGATTCATAATCATAAAATAACTTATTAAATATAACTTGATAGACAGTTATTAGCTAAGAAAAACTCGGGTAAAAACCGAGAAAAATTTGAATAATCGTGATTAATTTTGATACAAAAGAAGAGTATCGTTATATTATTATTAATTCAACATATAAAGAAAAGAGTAAATAAAATAAGATGTAATTTTGATATTTTGGTTCATATTTTATTATATATAAATATATAAACCGCGCGCGCGCCGTAAGAGGTATAATTTATTAAAAAATATTTAAATATTAAAAATATTATAAAATTTAACTTCAGTTTTATTTTATAATTAAAAAGTTTAAAACCATAATTTAAAAAATCTCAAAATTTTGGTATATTAACTCAAATATTTTACAGTTTTAATAAGTTTTTTTTAATAAAAAAAAAAAGAGTAATATTTTTGGTAAAATAATTTAGACGAAAGGAAGGTACACATTATGTTACTTACGAAGATCTAACGCCGTCGCACTTGCAATCACCGCGAGCAAGAGGATCACCTTTATCATTTCTGAATTTTATCTTCCGACTAATTGGAAGAAGAAAGTTTTTATATGAAAATATTCAGCAATCGTTTAATATGAACTGGAAGACGTGGACAATCTAGGCGGGCTATTTAAGCACTGCATGCCCCACCATGTTTCTATGCTGGACATCGTTTATATATACTGTATATGCATGTATATTGTATATGTATACATGCATTCAGGGTGAGGCATAGAAAGTGAACACCTGTTATTGTCCAGCAACATGTCCGGGATAGGTCAGCTATCAATCGCCGTGACTTATCTACTCTATGATTATTTGATATACCTATTAATGAAGACATAATTAATTTTATGTAATTGCATATGAAAAAAAATGGCAAATATATTATTTGTTGTCTGAAACTATATAGTATAGCCACACATTGGTATTTACTTGTAATAAAAATAATATATTGAATTTTGCTATTTCTTTTTAATAAAATGTTATAATATATAAAAAAGTTACAAGAATGTTTATAATAAAAAAAAATTGTTCTTATCGTTCAATCATGAAATTACTTTGCAAATATTTTCTCGCTTAACAAGAAATCAAATTGAAATGTCTAATATTTTTTCTCTTATCCAATGATATGCAATAACAGTGCTCTATTTTAAATAGATCATTTTTAATTGAATAAAATTACCTTGAAATGATTGTAGCAGACAACTTCATTACAATGGTTCGTAAATGTTATTTAAAGTATATAAAATAAATAACAAAAGAATTGTAAACGTGCTGCGGGTGTTGCAAATAGATATTCTCAGAATTATAAGATTTATCCTGAATTCAAATTACATTTATACGCATTTGCTCTGCCGGATTTAAATCTTGACGAAAGTTTGTCTGACATTGACGCGCTTATGTATTTACTTACGCATTGCAATTCTTACTATTTTATGCATTATTCGGCAAATAGTGAATAAGTTAGCACAAAATATAATATAATTTAAATACTTTGAAATTTCGTGGATCGATCCCATTCTCTGAAGGTAAAAACTTCTGTAAGAAATTTGTTTAGCAAAAAAAATCATAAATCATAACTTATAATGTGTGTGTAATTATTATTATATTTTATCAAAAGTAGTTTTTTCAATAATGGCACAATTTTCAGTCTTTTGGAGTGAGATTTATTTCAAAAAATTGAGAGAGAGAGAGAGAGAGAGAAAGAGAGAGTATAAATTAAATTAATAAAATACTGACATTTTCCTGTTATTTATTTTTTTTCCATTAAATATTTTTTGCATTTTATTTAAATAAGTGATACATTTCATATAGAGACTATAGTTTTTGATTCGTGTGTGTATTTTGGTTTCTAAATTATAAAAAATATATAAATATATAAGTATATATTTATTTGCGATATTTTAATGGATTTGCCAAAACAAAAAAGCCACAAATAAATTTGATATCATGATGTCACTGCTATATTCACCAGAAATAAAATAATATAAAATGTATTTTTTATACAAGACATATTTACATACAGCATAAAAGAGCAAACATACAAAAGTTGAGAAATGATCGGTGTTGAAATTTTCGTTATCAAATCTTTGAGATAAAACAAGCCTATGTTGCTTATATAGACCCTAGAGTTCATAAAAATTAAAATTTGAGGATATACTTCAGTCACGTTCAGCAAAGAGCTCTTTTCTGGTACTTGAGTGCTAGACTATTTAATGGTGGTCTAGCTTTCAGGATTCCGAGATCAATGGCGTGTCCGGTGAGAGGGCAGCTTTGGCAACGTTTACGTTTGTAATTGGTATTGCAAGTACCCTTTTCTTGTCGCACTATGTATCTGGGAAAGTAATGAACGCGCTTCCTTTGCGTTGTTGCGCACGACGGCATCGTCACCACTAAATCCTGCTTGTGAATTCTGCCTGCCGGCTCTGGAAACAATCGTTCATTTAGCAGATATTGCTGCAATGATCCCGACGATCTGGATGAAGTTAAGGTGTGGCTTGAGCCATGAGTTTCAAAATAGTTTTGCTCTCGGAACTTTTTCAAGCTCTCTACTTCCTGATCCATGGAATTATCAATTGCAAGACCATCGTAATGCCTCAAACATCGTTCACAATATTCCGGTAAATCGCTCTTTGTACGCTTATCACCGCTCAGCTTCGTAGTCTTTCTCTCCAGTTTGCTTTTGCAGCAACAAGGACAATCTTGCTTATGCAACTGCGCTGTTCGTTTACTTCGCATCGGTGATTTTGACGCAGGTCTTTCGCTTGACTCTGCCGTATGTCTCTTGGATCTGATAGTCTTTCGTAATGTTGACTTTGACAACTTTCGCGGAGATACTTGAGTTCTTTTACTCGAGGCGCAGATGATATCGTCGGACCCGTTTTGTTCGCTCAATAATAAATTTGCAGGTGCCGTAAGAGATTTTGGCTCCCTAACGCATTCACTCGGCAATGCCGATCTTTCATTAGCAACAGTATTCTGCGTCCTTGCGTTTGTGAATCGGTGATAACTGAATGATCGTGGACACATCCACAAAGAGTTTACCTTATCTGCAGTCTGTAACTCACAGATCTTGTTTTGCACGTTGCGAAGGAATTGAGATCTGGGCGCATAGTCAATTTTCTGAATTCTTCTAAGTGTTTCACAGCTAATAGGCAAAGTCAGTGCTACTTGGTCAACAATGTTTTTGACAGGTTTGATTTCGAGTTTACTTTGGCAATGACAGGGCGACGCTGGCTTGTGCTGAATTCTTGATGATTTTGTATGCGTTTTGATTACCTCAGAACAATAACAACCCTTTACTGGCTTTCTGGATACAACTTTTAGACGTTGCTCTTGAGGTTTCTTAGATGTTAGCATAAGTTTTCTAGATGCTAACATATCTGGGATTAATAGAGTTGCACGTTTCGGATTGATATGAAAATACTCTGAATACAAAACAACAGTTGAATCGTTGTGTAATTTCTATAAATTGATGTTCTTTTCTGTGCAATAATTATCTTGATTCTTATGATTGTGGCAATTTATCAAAGATCACAAATAAAATCTTTTAATCTGCAAAGAGATAATAATAATTAAGTTAATTTAAGAAAGGAATGTAGAAATTTGTTCTTTTTTTCAGCTGAACTTCTTAAACAGTTATTTTTCCTCTTTCTATTTTTATATTAAAAAGAAAAATAAGAGGAAAAGTATGCAAAACATTTAGTTAAAAAATAGAGTCCTTATATTTCTGCTTATATGTAACATATACTTACAGAGTTATAAGTATAACTCGTTTATTCCAGTATTCAGTCTTCTGAAATCTTCATTAATAAGTTCTAACAACATTCTTCTCTTATATAATTTTTTTTAGGTTGTCATTCAGCGTTTCTGCTCTGTGTTTAGAACTTAATGCACATTATCATGTTATGAAATTGGATCATTTTAACTGTACAGGATATTATCATTACCACAAGAAATCCAATTTACACATTAAATATAAATTAATTATAAACAATGAATATTATAATAATCAAGATTAAGTAGATAATTCAAGTTATAATTAAAATAAATTTAAATATAATATTGGAGCACTATAAATAATGCAACATTGAAAATTTAATTATAAATATTTCTTTCCACATGCATATATCACATAATCGTTTGTGTAAGATACGGTTTCTTAACCTATCTTTTTTTTCTTTTATTTAACATTTATTCATAATCTTCAGCCGCAATTTTTATACGAAACTCATCAATGGTGAAAATTCATTGAAATTATTATGTTGCCTCTATCAACTTTTATTACAACGTACTTTGTGCTCCCAGAACTTTAACGTCTTCAACACATACCAACACATACGATTGTTATCGACGTGAAGTTTGATGAGTTTACTGTAAACAAAAAGAGACGCTCCAGGCTAGCCAAATTTCGAAAGATATATTCTTTTTGCGTTCGAGCATTCAGTTTGAGAAATGAATTATCATTCATCAGAAAAAAGTTAAGTCTTATCGAAATTATGATATAAAATTGCGCACTATTAAAATTTATTTAAACGTCGACAATTTGTCTCGCGCTAGTTACAGAAGAGAGAAATTTTATTTACTCGTCCCATCCGCTGTAACTTCACGGCGCTTTGCAACAGTGGCGAGAGCGCGCGCGTCGCCATGTTGATCATTTGATCAACTGGGATCATATGGAATGGAACGACGCTGTCCGTATTTCACGATCTTTGAACATAGCTAATTTTAACTAGGTAAGGCATTGCGTTAATGTATCGCACGACATACCGTAGATGATATCCTAACTCGTCGCGTAGTCCTGCTGCGCGAGATGTAACTGATCTAATCCGATCTCGTTGCTCCACGCGGTCAGGTTATCCGATTGTAGGTTAGAAACGCTACATTTTCCTTGCACAGGTTATTACGCGTAGCGTCATGGATTTACCCGAGGATGAAGCATCTCGCGATCTCGTTAAATGTCCTCTAACATTACCGCAATTCTCCGAGCTGCGTTCAATGCCGACTGCCGCAGCCGCTGCTATCGCCGCCATCGCCGCGGCTGATAACCGTAGCGTGCAGTCGCAGGGGGTACAAACGACTGGTCAAGCGTCTCCGCAAGAGACTTCGGTGAGTTTTTCTGCTTTCTTTTGCACCGCGTTTCCCTTTTCTCGTTAATTTTGGTTTGACATTAAAATTTTGTTGAATTCCCTTTCTCTTAGACAAATACTCTTGGCAAATACCTTGCGGCACCTTTACCTGGCTGGCAGGATACTTTGCTTCAATTATGCGAGAAGCAAGTGCTTAATCAAATAATTAATGTCCCTAGTTATAGTCAAAATAACGTGACACTAGGTGCACAATCAAGTAATTTTGGTTTAATTAATAGTCTTTACTTACCTTCTACATCACAGGCAAATATTGTAAAGCAAGAACTAGATGTCCAGTCTAAAGAAGAGAAAAATTTGACCCGGGTGAGATTCTTTAAGGTAATTCTCAATTTTTTTTAGTTATTTCTACATTACTCATAGATGTATTTACTTGTTTCTATAGGAAATGCTGTTGAAACAGCACTCATCAACAGCAGTCAATTTAATAATGGCTGAATATTTTCATAAATTTCCAACTGAATTTTCTCTACGAGATACATTTGAACTATGTGCAGAACAAGTAAAAAAGGAGAAAACGCGAGAGGAAAAAGTAGAGCAAGTGCAGAATAATATTCTAAATATACCAAATATCAGAAACATTTATCTACAAAATGGCAATTTAGCAAGCACTGATCAAATAACAGTGACTGTTAATCCGAGTGAACTGAATCTGCAAAATGAACAAGAAATTGAAAACAATTTGCAAAATGTCCTAAAAGTCGAGCAGCAAGTACAAACCGATTTGCCAAAAATCGAGAAAAAGTCGAAATTTCGAGCAAAAATCAGCGAGATTAAAATCAGCGTTAACTATGACGGAACTACGCTTTATTGTTGCCCAGAGTGTAATTTAGGATTTCCAGACAAGACCGACATCGAACAACATATACAGGCTCATCTTCAAGTACATATATATTTTATCACTTTTGGAGACTAGATTGCTAAGAAAATATATGTTAAGTAAAAAGTTTCGATTTATTTTAGGAACGAAAGTACCAATGCAAGGAATGTGGTGCCATGTTGAAAAGAAAGGAGCATCTTGATCAGCACATGCGCGGTCATTCGAACGAGCGACCTTTTAAATGTGAGGTATGTCAGAAGGCGTTCAAGAGAAATGAGCATTTAACAAGACATACTGTCATTCATTCCGGTAATAAGGATTTTCCATGCACCATGTGCCAGAAAGCGTTTTCGCGCAAGGACCATTTGAACAAACATTTTCAAACGCATTTTGGTATTCGTAAAAACAAAAAGGATGATTCTTATTATACCGATCAAAAAGATACAAGAATATTCGATAACAGTACCGAAATCGCAGTGATGCCTAAGCAAGAGACAAGCTATATTCTAAAGGACGGTTGCTTAATCAAGCAGGAAACCTCTCTTTTACAGCATCTTCAAACTATTCAAAAAAATCCGAATCTATTGCATAGCACATTCGCTGCTTTTAAAGAAGAAGTGATGAAAGATGTAAATCTGACTGAACAAGCGCAGAGCGGTAATATGAATGAAAATGCAAGGTATTTAATGCCGTCTTAGTTGTAGGTAAAATCCATATATGTTCCAAAGCAATATATGATGTATGATAGAGCTTGTAGGTAATTTTAATTTTTGAATTCATATTTTGTCATTGGAACAACTGTGACTATTCCAGATTTATAGTTTAATTTTAATACGAAACGTTTTGACATTGGATTAAAAACATACATACTTAGTTAAAAATACGAATCACGAAATAAAAATGTCATACGGTGTAGCTCCTCTATTCTAAAATCATCGGGACCGAGCATATTTTCTCTATTCTACAATTTCTTCTCACAGTCATTTCTCATTTTTATAGAAGATATTGCACGATCTGTTTTTTGCTTGATGTTAGTTGATAATGTAATACAAGCATAATGAATCAATACAAGAGGAGAAATTCAGTTTAGAGGAGGTAGCTAACTTAGAGTAAAGAAAAACTTAGAATAGAGGAGTTCTGTGTATTCATCAATCTCACACCTTTAATATGTTAAAATGTCAAAATAATTATGTGCTAAGTTATGACATAAGCTGTGATTACCTGGATTTATCTTTGTCTTTCCATTGTATTATTCTTCCTCATCTTCATTTTATATCATTTTTATGTTTCAACACTTGATTTTTACAGTTTCAAGAAAATATTGATTTCAAAATATGAGTTTTTGTTTGATAAAATTTTGCTTTATGTCAAAATTTTTATCTTAAATTTATTTAGTAATCACGTATTCAATATGTGAGCAAGCGCACATTGTAGTTTTTTCTTAAATTTTGAAAGAATGAATAATCGCTAATGTGTTAACTATATTACTCTAATCGCCTTAACTCTTGGAATTTTAGAGGCACGGAATGTATTTTAAAATTTATTCCAAGATTTTTCTTGCGTCCTATATAAAATGAACTTTTTAAAACATAAATAAAAAAATCGATGAGAGAAATTAATAAGTAAAAAAAATGCCAATTTGTGTAATTGCACGCTTGTCTACCTACTTAAGTTAGCCATAGGATATATTAGTTATTATCAACAATTCTAGTCCATGTCAATACATATAATTTTAATACCTTCTTGCATTAAGCAAAGATTCATTTACGACATTTGGACTGTTTTGATAACTAAAACACATTTATTTTAAATCTGCGTAAGTAATGAAATATAAGAATACTTTTGAAAGATATTGCTAAAATATTGAAACGGAAACAAATTTACCGATAGAATAAAAATGATGTCTTTTGAGAGAAGAATATTATTGAACAATTATTATGTAGTTTAGATACTTGGAAGTTTCTCGCTCTTTATCATACGTACTATTTTTGTTGTGTATACATTTTTATTTTATTAAATTGAATTCAGAAAATAAATAAACAAAATATGTGGCAGAATCATATACACATTTAGTCAATTTCAGAGAGAGAGAGAGAGAGAGACTGAGATTTAAATTGATATATTAACCCTTTCGTTCCTCCGAGACATATATGCACCACCGAAAAAAATAATAAGTTTTAAACAAATAATCCTATCAACTTTTATTTTGACTTATTTTAAAGAAGAAAATTTGAGTTACATGTAAAAAAAAACCGCATACTTCGAAATGTAATGTTTTCAATAAAATATATTAATATAGTTATCTAAATTTTGCAAAAAGTCAAATTTTTGAATAGAGAAGAATAATTGTTTATTATGTTGTATATTATGTCGAAAAATCATAGAATTTTGATGCTAATTATAAAATATTATTTAAATGTGGTTACAACTTTATTATGATAAATATAGTAGTGTATATATGTAATTAAAGCGTGCGCATTTGGAGAATTTTTATCATTCTAAATATATTTTAGATTAAATAATCGTATGCGTGCGTGCATGTGTGTGTGCATGTGTGTTTATACGTGTTTGCTACGATACATATTAAAAGAACGAAATTCATATTTTAAATATATTGATACTTTATTTTTCATGGTCGTCATCTTAATTCCGCTATTTTGAATTTAAATTTTGATAGTAAATTTGAATTCGGCACTCGGAGGTACGAAAAGGTTAGGTACAAATTTAAAATTTGACGAGCATTGAGGTATTATTAATGATGAGTGGAATTAGTAAATAATAACTGTCAAAAATTTTGTTAAAAAGTTGTATATATTATTGTCAGATAAAACATATGCAATTGTATACAACATATGTAGCAAAATATTCATTACGATAAATATCAAGGTGCACTTGTCCAGAGTAATTTGATTGAAAATATCTGAGAAATATCGATATTTCGTTCTCTCTCTCTCTCTCTCTCTCTCTCTCTCTCTCTCTCT